TTTAGCAGCATCTGTGGCCTGTACCCACTAGAGGCCGGTAACACCCCTTCTCCTCAGTTTTGACAACCAAAAACATTCCCAGACATTGCCAAGTGTCCTAGAGAGCAAAATCTCAAAACTGAGAATCACTGCTCTAAAAGATGAAGACTTTTTTATTTTGTTTAAACATTGGGTTTTTTTTTTTCAACGTTTATTTATTTTTGGGACAGAGAGAGACAGAGCATGAACGGGGAGGGGCAGAGAGAGAGGGAGACACAGAATCGGAAACAGGCTCCAGGCTCCGAGCCATCAGCCCAGAGCCTGACGCGGGGCTCGAACTCACTGACCGCGAGATCGTGACCTGGCTGAAGTCAGACGCTTAACCGACTGCGCCACCCAGGCGCCCCTAGGGTTTTTGTTTTTTTTTTAATGTTTATTTATTTATTTTGAAAAAGTGTCAGTGGGGAAGGGGCAGAGAGAGGGAGAGAGAGAAAGAGAGAATCCCAGCAGTCTCTACACTGTCAGTGCAGAGACTGATGCAAGGTTAGATCCCACAAACTGTGAGATCATGACCTGAGCCAAAACCAAGAATCAGATGCTTAACTGACTGAGCCACCCAGGCACCCCAAGATGAGAACTCTTGTTGAATCTAATGGGAGTTCTCTGTGCTTCTTGGATTTTGATGTCTATGTCTTTCCCCATGTTAGGAAAGTTTTCCACTATGATTTGCTCAAACAAACCTTCTACCCCTTTTTCTCTCTCTTCATCTTCTGGGACTCTTATGGTTCGGATGTTATTCCTTTTTAATGAGTTACTGAGTTCTCCAATTCTTATATCGTGCTCTTTTGCCTCCTTAGTTTCCCTCTTTTTCTGCTTCACTAGTCTCCATAATTTTCTCTTATATGTCACTGATTGGCTGCTCTGCTTCATCCATCCTTGCTGCCATGGCATACATTCAAGATTGCATCTCAGTTAAAGCATTTTTAATTTTGTCCTGACTAGATTTTACTTCTCTTATCTCTGCAGAAAGGGATTCTATGCTTTTTTCAACCCCAGCTAGTATTCTTATTATCATGATTCTAAATTCTAGTTCAGACATCTTGCTTATATCTGTGTTATGTCCCTGGCTGTAATTTCTTCCTGTTCTTTCTTTTGGGGTGAATTCCTGCTGAGTTCTGTGGCTCACATTATGCAGATTGTGTTAATCCTCAGATCAATTTTCTAGATGTGCAAAATGGTTTGGTGCTAATCTAGCTGCATTTCAGGGATGAAAGAATCAGAGTACTTCCATGCTGCACCACCATCTTGGCCCCTTCTCCCTAAGATGAGAACTCTTTTTAAAAATACAGCTATGGTACTATTATCACATAGAAATAATTAATAATATTTCTGAATGTAATTAAATAGCTAGTGTCCAAATTTCTAATTGTCTCATAAATGTTAAAAAGTTCATTCTTCCAATAGTTTTTTTTTTTTTAAATAAGAATCCAAATAAGGTCCATACACTGTGATTGACTGATATATCTTTTGGATATCTTTTAATCTTTAGGTTTCCCCCCAGTTTTTATTTCTTCATTCATTTATTTTTTCCCTAAAGAAAAGAGATCATTTTACCTATAGAGTTTCCCACAGTCTGGATTTCACTGATTACACATTCATAAAGTAGTTTAACATTTTCTTTGTGATCTCCATTTCCTAAAAATTGGTAGTGAGATCAAGAAGCTTAATCAAATTCAGGTTCCAAGGCTACTTCAATGTGACATTGTGTTCTTCCATGGGGCACCTGATATAAACAGCCACCGATGATCAATACCATTCTAATTCAATCATTCTTTCTCCATTTATTGACTGAGTTCTTCTCTAAAGGGAAATTTTCCCTGAGAAGCAATTATTTAAGATTAGTAATGGCCACCTGCAAAACTAGGATGATTTAAGATTCTGAAGCCTTGTCCAAACGCAGTATAAAGAAAGGCAGAATTAATGACTGATGTCTGATATGGGCATGTGTTGGAACAGTCAGTAATTTCTATCCCTAATCTGATTTCTTCTCTATTTTAGAACTGAAGACTCAGTAGAAAGAAATAAGACCATTAAGAATGGCTTAGAATGTGCTGAATGTGATTATGGAGTCAGGGTAGTCTCAGAATCAAAATGATTATTTTTCTTGTTTGTTTTTAATGATAATCCCCAGTGTTAGCAATATACAAGGGATACCACTTTGGAATACTGTTTGTGAGAATGTAAATTGGCACAACTTTTCTGAAGGACAATTTGATAATATGTAACAAAACCTTAAAAGTTTGCATATCCTTTGACCTAGAAATGCTACTGCAAAAATTTATCCCAGGATGAGCAAGGAGACTTAGCCAAGATTGTTCATGGCAAGTCTATAATAATGAAACATTGGAAACAACCTAATGGTTTGTCTATAGGGAGATAGCTAAAGGCAGCATGCTATCCAACTGATGACCTTGCAGGTTTGAATATTACAGAATACATAAGGGCATGGAAAGATGTTCATGATATATTACTGAGTGAGGAAAAAAATTTCTGAAGTAGTATATTCAGTAAATCTCATTTTCTATTTAAAAAAAAAGAATTTATGCATATAAGTACATGCATGGGAAAAAAGGTCACAGTAGATGTATCAAAATATTAAGTTAATATTGAATTATTAATATTACCCCATGGTAAAATTAGGAGTAATTTCTATTTTCTTCCTTTTGCTTATATGATTTTTCAAAATTTCCTATAGGTAATTCACATATTTTAAAGGAAAAAGTTTTAATAACAAGTACTTTTAATTAGGGTTGCCAAATGAAATACACCATGGGACATACTTACACTAAAAAATTATTGTTTGTCTAAAATTTAATTTAAGGAGGCATCTTGTATTTTTATTTGCTAAGTCTGGCAAGCCTACTTTTAATGCAGAGTAGCCAAAGGAGAAGGAAGGCCTGGCTGGCTCAGTCAGTAAAGCATGTGACTCTTGATCTTGGGGTTGTGAGTTTGAGCCCCATGTTGGGGGTAGAGATTACTTAAAAAAATAAATAAATAAAATATTTTTTTATTATTTTTTTAAACGTTTATTTATTTTTGAGACAGAGAGAGACAGAGCATGAACGGGGGAGGGGCAGAGAGAGAGGGAGACACAGAATCGGAAGCAGGCTCCAGGCTCTGAGCCATCAGCCCAGAGCCCGACGCGGGGCTAGAACTCACGGACTGCGAGATCGTGACCTGGCTGAAGTCGGACGCTTAACGGACTGCGCCACCCAGGCGCCCCTAAAATATTTTTTTAAAAGTAATCAAAGAAGAGATTGGGGTACTTGACCCCAACATGCTGGCCCCTCTGAGGACAGGAGAGGAAATTATTGTTCCAAGACTTTTAAGCCAGGAAATAGGATTTAGTGGAATAAGAAAAGATCAGTTTAGAAGCCACACAGTCCTTGTCTGAAATTCGGACTCTACTACCCCCACCAGCTTCCCCATTCCCTGCCTTTCCCCAACACCATTCACCCCACAATAGGTATGTCCTAGGGACGAGTTACTTGTCTTCCCTGAACCTCAGTAATAATGCTTGTCTTGCAAGGATCACATGAAAAGTGTGTGATGGCACTTTGTAAATTGCAAAGTGCCAGGCAGCACGTTATTATCATGTTAGTAAATTATACACACAAGGACATGTTGAAGAGGAACAAAACATCTGCCACAGATGACTGTAGAATTGTTCCTTGTAGAAGATTTTTGATGGCTCTCTGAGGTCAAAACAACTCAAGGTTTAGTCACTCAGAGACTGAACCCATATATTAGCATCTATCCAAATTGTTCTTACAATCCTATTTATAGATGCACTGATCACCAAACATTGTGGGAATACTTTGCCGCAAGTCGGTTGCTAAATTGGTTGGCGAGCAGCGGGCCACGAGTGGCTCAGAGGAAGCCTGTGTTCTTTACGAGTTTGGCAGCTCATAATTCCAGGCCCTCACCTTGTCCTCACACACTAGTCGCGGTCACCTTGGAAACTGCCCTATTCTAGATGCAGAGCACAGAATGTACTGGCTGGCATGGAATTAATCAGCAGCTGCTTCTCTCTTGCTCTGTTATTGACAAACCATCAGTACCTCTCAAGCCACTTTAGGGAGGATCCACGGTGGGGTTTCAAGGCTCTTCCAGGGGAAAATTAACACCAGAGGTTAGGGTTTATGGAAAAACAGAAAAATAAAACAAGGGAGAAAGAAATTAAGGGAGAAGGAAGGAGGAAAGGAAGAAGTAAAAGAAGAAAAGTTCAGAAGGAGGCAAATGAGATTATTATCCTATTTTACAGATGATAAAACTGAGGCCTAGCAAGGTCACACAACCAGTAAATATCAGAGCTGTATTTCAAATCCAGGAGAAATAAAATCCATGGAGGAGGAAAACAAAATCCCCTAAGGTGAGTGAATTTTCCAATGTCCAAAAAAGTTCCTGATGGGAATCAGACACTCTGGAAATAGTGCCTCAAAAATGCAACTTGTGGCATGACACAGGCAGGACGCAATGAGAGGTGGCCATCTGCAAGCCAGAAGAGGGCCCTCACCCAGAACCCAGCCCTGATCTTAGACTTCCTAGCCTCCAGAAATGTGAGAAATAAATATCATCGGTTAAGCCTCCCAGTCTGTGGTATTTAGTTATACACAGCCTGAGAAAACTAAGACATGGTAATTCCATGGTTAACTTATTAAGGAATCGCCCAACTATTTTCCACAGCAACTGCAACTTTTTCTATTCCCACCATCGGTGTTTGAGGGGAGAATGCCAGTGTGGAGTCCCACCATCCTCAGCTTCAATCTTAGCTCTGCTACTGATGTGACTCAGTAACCTCCTCACATAACCTCTCTGGCTCTCAATTTCCTCACTGGCAAAATGGGGGTAATAGAGTTGATGAGGATTACACGGATGACGTAGGAAAAGCTCCTAGTCCACACCACTGAGTACATGTCAGTGGTTTTGTTACTGTTGCAGAGAGAATCACAATATCTCAGTATGGGAAGGGGCCCAACAGGCACAATACACAATTTTATTTCCTGGTTTATCACAGCAGGATTCCACATCATGTGTCCTGCCAGAATATCCCCATCACTGCTCACCGTGAGGCATTAAGGGTGAGAACCAGTTCCCCTGGACATTGGGATAGCATTTTCCAAGTGGGTTGTTGGAAACGTGGCTTTCACAGAGTATAAATGAGGGTTATGAAGAGGGAAAAAGAATTCTGAGGTCAAATAACTTTGGGAAACACAGAGCCAAAAACCCTAAAGCAGGTTCCTTTCCTGCAGGACTTCTCAGAGCATTGAGCAGGGTTGTACACTTTGAAATCACCAATGAGGAATGGAGACTGCAGCATTTCCTCAACTTCCCTGTCCTGGGAGACCTTTCCCAGCTGGACGAAGTCTGCATCCATAAATGAGGCATCTGTCCCCACAGTGCAGAAACCACACACAACCACCAAGGTCGCCCTCAGCCTTGAGTTCTAAATATTCACTCTCAACCACAGCATTGCAAAAGTTTTCTCCTTTGCCACTTTGTCCCAAATGGCAGTTTAGAAACTGCAGCCACTGCTGCTCTGCAGTCTTCCTTAGTGTCCCCATTCATCCCTGCTGCGTGAAGCCAATCTCCAAGTACAAATTTCAGGTGTTAGATAATCTTCCGAGCCTGAAAGAAGAGAATCACCTTGTCAGGCCTGAGGAAATCCGCCCTCCGCATTCCCATCCTGAAGCAGGTCCTGGACGAAAGCGGGCAGGGCTAAGTTTCCCTTCTCAGCCAGGTTTTTCAACTGTTGTGTTCAGTAAATTTCCAGAGCCACTAGAACTCACTAGAGTTCTGCAATTGCCCCTTTGCATGCTAATGCACTTTCTTAAAAATCCATGATAAGTTTGGAGGCCATAACTAAGAGATATGAGGAAAGGTCAGGATCTGGGACAAACCAAAAGACTTAGTAATTTTCTGAGACACTAGGGAAGGGGATGGAGGCATTGTTCCAGAAGACCTGACCTCCAACATTCGCACATAATGCAGATGAATGCAAATAAGTTACCGTCTTCTGTTGTCACTTCCAGAATGGTGAATAATTCCATCTCAGTGACCAGAGGAAATGACTCTCACTTCACATACAAGCTTACCTTGAGTCTTTTATTCTCAGGGACACCGAGGAAACTCAGGGCTTTTCCTGAACCCTGAACTAAAATGAAAAAAACAGTCCCAGGTTGACCCCAAGACAGGAACACTAGCACGGGTGAACCTTCGTTAAGCATTTGCCATGTGACAGATGCATGTGGTCCCACAGCCAGAGAGGAGAGCCAACTGCACACACATGCATGTGGCTGGGATTAATCCTAGCCAGCCCCAGGACCACCACCGGCAGCTCCTCAGACGACTCAGCTGGAGTTTGGGAAACTGAGCAATGTCTGCAATGTAAGGAATCCAATCCACCCGACCCTTATAGACCCAGTCAGAAGTCAGCAGCTGGGGGTGAAGCCTTTGGGAAGATTTGCTCAAGTATGCTGGGCACGGGTTTGTCTTTCACTGACACCCTCGCACAGAGCAGGCCCTGGAAGTAGCCAGAAGGAAGGCCGGCTGAGCTCTGCGGGTAGGGAAGACGGACCTCTGCATGGGACGCAGGGGGCCTGGCTGCAGAAACTATGGGGTGGCATGCATCTGAATCTTCAGCTCAGGACAGCAGCAAGTGTGCTGAGGAAGAGAAGCAGCCTGCTGTGGCAGGCCGAAGGTCAACAGCGTGGCTGCACCCCCTACAGGTTGGGTGATTTCACCAGGTCATTCCCCTTTTCTGACCTCAGCTTCCTTGTCCGCAAAAAACGAGACGGCTGGTCTAAATCTGTTGATTGGGATTTGTTTCTTCTTCTTGCAATAAAATTCATGTAACATAAAATTTGTGGTTGCTGACATCTGGCACAGTCCCTGTGTTGTGCAACCATCACCACTCTCTAGTTGCAAGGCATCTTCCTCACCCCAAAAAGAAGCCCGTACCTATTAAGCAGGTTATGCCCTGCTTAACCCCCCATTACCCCCACCCTCCAGTCCCTGGCAACCACTAACTTCTTTCTGCCCCTGCAGACTTGCCTGTTCTGGACATTTCATACAAATGGAATCATACAATAACATGGCCTTTCCTGACTTGGCTTCTTTCACTTAGCACAATGTTCGCAAGGTTCATGCGTGTTTATCAGCACTTCATTTCTTTTTATGGCTAAATAATATTCCATTGTACAGATGTACTACTTTTTATCTACTCATCAATTGATGGACTTTTGGGTTGTTTCCACCTTGTGGCTATTGTGAATAGTCAAACATTCGAACGTTTGTGTACAAGAATCTGCTTGGGAATCTGTTTTGAATTCTTTAGGGTATATATCCAGGAGTAGAATTGCTGGGCCACATGATACGATGGACCAAATATTTGTGTCCTCCCAAAAGAAGGTCTAAGTCCCAGTAAATGTGATGGTATTTGGAGGTGGGGCCTGTGGGAGGTAATTAGGTTTAGGTGAGGTCATGAGAGTGAGGCCCCCATCATGGGATTAGCACCTTACAAAAAGAGGAAGAGATTAGAGCTCCTTCCCAACCCCTATGTGAGGATACCATGAGAGGCAGCCAAGTGCAAGCCAAATAGTGGGTCCTCACCAAGAACCTAGCCCTGATCTCAGAATCCTAGCCTCCGGAACAGTGAGAAATAAATGTCTGTTATTTAAGCCACCTAGTCTATGGCATTTTGTTATAGAAGCCCGAGCAGACTGAGACATATGATAATTGTATGCTTAAGTGACTGAGGAACCCTGAACTATTTTCCACAGTGGTTGTACCATTTTCCATTCCCACGATAGATGTTTGAAGGTTCTGTTTGCTCTTCGATCTCACCAACGTGGGAACTTTTTTAAGCAGGGAGGGCATTTAGTAATAAAACTATTTCTTCTGGGCACCTGGGGTGGTTCAGTTGGTTAAGTGTCTGACTTTGGCTCAGGTTATGATCTCATGGTTCAGTTTGTGAGTTTGAGCCCCGCGTCAGGCTCTGTGCTGACAGCTCAGAGCCTGGAGCCTGCTTCATATTCTGGGTGTCCCTCTGTCTCTGCCCCTCCTGGCTCGTGTTCTGTCTCTCTGTCTCTCAAAAATAAATAAACATTAAAATTATTTTAAAGAAAAGGAGGGGGGCGCTTGGGTGGCTCAGTCAGTTAAGTGTCTGACCCTGGCTCATGATCTCACAGTTCAGTTTGTGAGTTCGAGCCCCGCATCGGGCTCTGTGCTGACAGCGCAGAACCTGGAACCTGCTTCGGATTCTGTGTCTCCCTCTCTCTCTGCCCCTCCCCCCACTCACTCTCTGTCTCTGTCTCTGTCTCTGTCTCTCTCTCACAAATAAATATACATTAAAAAAAAAACTATTTATAATGAAATCTTTCTTGGAACCGTACCATAACAAAACAAGATTAAAGAGAAACTGTCAGGGTGAGGTGATGGCACCTCTAAAATCCTAGGGCTCTAAAAAAGAACAGTGTGAAACCTGTTGCTCCAGATAGGTTTGTTGGATCCTTCCTGGCTTAGAATCCAAAGATCCCATCTTGACCTGCTTCCCCGATCCATCCAGGTCCTCAGAGGTTTGGCTTAGAGAAGACTCACCCCATCTCCATTCCATGCTTTTATGGAAGCCCTGAGGTTGCAGCCCTCTTCCAGATGCATATGGGGCCCATCTGTGCAAAAATCATCTGGTTCTCATGAAAATGAAAATTCTGGGATTCCCACCCCAGACTTACAGAATGGGAATCTTTTTCAGAGGAACCCTAGTATTTGCTTTTTTTTTTTTTTTTTACATACTTCCAGATGTATTTTGATGTCCCCCTGTTTGAGAGCCACTAGACTAGAAAGGGCTGAGAGGTGAGGGAGCCGAGGGTAAATGCCTCAGTTAATGAGGCCAAACAGCTACTATCTCGCTGAACTGTGGTGACTTTCTCCTTTGCTCTTTAAGTGGAAGAGAGGCATTGGATTTTGCTTTGAGATCCAAGCGCCAACTGGGGCTACCCAAAGGTCATATTGGCACCACTTCTTTCCCACAAGACTATGAAGTTCAAAGGATAAGGACCCTCTTAGGCCCCTCAGAAACTGTGCACAGTGTTTAAGCGTTTCCAAGTGCTGTTATTTTTTTTTAATGATGGTTATTATGGTTACTTTTTTGAAATTTGAAAATATAGCAGATCAGTCATAAAGCATTGACTATTTATGCAAGTTTTAGCAGCGTTAAGCAATGCCTTCCTTGTGCTGAGAATCAACATTATTTACTTTGGGAATCTTGCCCAGATTTCTGTTAACTCATTCACACATAGTTTCTCCTCCCAGCCTTGTGACTCAGTGAGGTTTTTCCCAGCTAGGGCAAGGAAAACTGTTATATACAGACCTAATCCAGTGCAATGAACTCATCAAGGATCATCAAAAGCCCCCTACCCCAGTTACACCCTCAGAGCAGAAAACCACTCTTCAGGCTCTGTGGGACTCCTCCAAGAATGAGTGACTCCCCACCTGTTTTGGTTATCCATTGCTATGTAACAAATCTTGCCAAAACTTAGTGACTTAACACAACAACCATTTTATTAGTTCTTGCTGGTCTTTGGATTGACTAAGCTCAACTGAGCAATTCTGCTCCATCTGTTGTCTGTTGAGGCTACAGCCATCTGGGGGCTCAACTGGGCTGAAGAATCCAAGCTGGCTCACTCACATGGCTAGTGGCTGATGCTGGTGTCAGGTGGGAGCTTAGTTGGGCCTGTTGTCTGAAATGTCCTATACATGGCCTCTTCATGTGGCTTGGGCTTCCCACAATATGGCAGCTGGGCTACAAGAAGGAGTAACCCAAGATCAAATGTTTCAAGAGGGAGGAAGTGGTTCAAAGCACTGATTGGGATTAAACCCTAGTTCTAAGGCCTTGGACAAATTACTTAATCTCTTAGAACCTAAACTTCTCCATCTACCACATGAAGATAATGCCTTTCTCATCAGATTGATGTGAAGACTGAGGTGGTATATATGAAGCTCTTCACGCAGTGCTCCAAAAACAAGACTGAGTTATGATCATGGACACACCAACACCTAATCCTGGGACACCCTGGATAGTGCATGCTGGATCTCTCCACTTTTTCTCCCAGGCTTATTATACAAATTCCCCAGTTGCCATCTGTCATTTGAAGAAAAGGGAGAGTTGCTGTCTTCAACGGGATCCTGCCAGTCTGATGCAGAGATCAGAAACCGACATGACTCCTTGGAATTTATCTAAAAGGGAAAAAAATCTTACAAGTATTCAAAGATATTTGTAGAAAACATGTTACAATAACATGCTATCAAACTAAATGTCTATCAATAGGGAATGAAATATGACACATTCATATTCTACTGGATGGTTTCTGCTCTTAGGGTATCTAGGACCTGATCATCCTCCCTCTTAGGGGGAAACTCTAAGACAGGAAATAAACACCCCTGCTGTTCACTACAGAGGCCAAAAGAAGGCAGATAGGCCCACTCATGCTCCCTGGAAGGCAACATATAGACAACATATAAGCATGTAAGCTGAGTGTGGCCAGTGAGATTTTCCTGCCTGAGGCTTTGCCCACAAAGGCACAAGGACAGTTAGTGATTTTCAAGACTGTCATGTTGGCAGTGGAGCC